GAGCTTGGGGCCATACACAAATTATCATAAAACGAGTGGGAATTTGGAATGGTCTCAAAATGCTCAAACATTTCCCTCACATAATCTCTGATCTGAAGGTATCGGAAAAAGTGTGAACTGGGAAGGTCAAATTTAGCACTCAATTGTGCAAATGAGGCGACATTGCCATCAACATATAGGCCAGCTAGAGTTTTAATACCCTTTCTCTTCCAAACAGCAAAAGTGCCATCTAACTGCCCGGGCTTGAAAGAAGGATATTACATATACGAACATATATGCAGTTCAGGATAAACTTCAAAATTATGCTTCTGACTTACAAATCCTTGAACCATCAAGCTCCTCCATATCTGTGTGAACTTGTCCATTACTACAACCCGCCGCGTGCTCTCAGGTCTGAAGATAAGCTCCTCCTAGCTGTTCCGGATGCACGTTTAAAAAGCCGTGGAGAAAGGGCTTTCTCTGTCTGTGCACCCAAGCTGTGGAACGCATTACCACTGCTAGTGAGGCAAGCACCAACAGGTAGCATTTTTAAATCACGCCTGAAAACTCACTACTTCAACCTAGCTTATACCACATAATTATGAACCTCACTTACATCTGCACTGTTTAAAAATGGACTCCACAATAATCGACTTCCGTACTATTGAGGTTCTTTTTAAAATGTTTTTTCTAATTTTTATTCACCCTGTGTCTTATTGATTTTCAGCTGTTACGTTTGGTATTTTTGTTGTATTTCCTTTGTATCTTTTATCTGTGTTCGACATGTTTGTATAACGCCGGTTTAATTAATCTAACATTTTTTGTGTACAGCGCCTTGTTTGGTTGTAATGCCTTGTGAATGCGCTTTATAAATAAAATTGGATTGGATTGGATTGGATTGGATATATGGATTCTTTGGGAACACTTTAATTTGTTTTAGTATGGGCAGAGTATTCGCCAAGACAAATGAGTTCTGAGCTGGTACACATGATTTAAGGCTCGAAAATAACAATGCATGGAGTGAAGTGTTACTGTCATTAGGACTTTCAAACTGCAACCAGCCATGATCAGATTCATCAGAAATACTATGTGTCCAGTAAGTGAGAGCTCTGCAGTTAGCAGCCCAGTAATAATGTTTAAAATTTGGAAGACCACCTTCCATTGTTGATTTATGTACATGAGCTTTAGATATTCTGTTTGCTTTAAATCCCCACACAAAATGCAATATAATCTAATCTAATTTTTTGGAAAAGGAAGCACTAAGATACAGGTGCTGGCCAGTAAATTAGAATATCATCAAAAGGTTGAAAATATTTCAGTAATTCCATTCAAAACGTGAAACTTGTACATTATATTCATGCAATGCACACAGACCAATGTATTTCCGATGTTTATTACGTTTAATTTTGATATTTATAGGTGACAACCAATGAAAACATCAAATCTGGTATCTCAGAAAATTAGAATATTCTAAAGGCCAATGAAAAAATGTTTGTTTCTCTAATGTTGGCCAACTGAAAAGAATGAACATGAAAAGAATGTGCATGTATAGCACTCAATACTTAGTCGGGGCTCCTTTTGCCTCAATAACTGCAGTAATGCGGCGTGGCATGGACTCGATCAGTCTGTGGCACTGCTCAGGTGTTATGAGAGCCCAGGTTGCTCTGATAGTCGTCTTCAGCTCCTCTGCATTGTTGGGTCTAGCGTATTGCATCCTCCGCTTCACAATACCCCATAGATTTTCTATGGGGTTAAGGTCAGGCGAGTTTGCTGGCCAATCAAGGACAGGGATACCATGGTCCTTGAACCAGGTGCTGGTGGTTTTGGCACTGTGTGCAGGTGCCAAGTCCTGTTGAAAGGTGAAGTCTGCATCCCCATAAAGTTGGTCAGCAGCAGGAAGCATGAAGTGCTCTAAAACTTCCTGGTAGACGGCTGCATTGACCCTGGACCTCAGGAAACAGAGTGGGCCAACACCGGCAGATGACATGGCACCCCACACCATCACTGACGGTGGAAACTTTACACTGGACCTCATGCAACGTGGATTCTGTGCTTCTCCGCTCTTCCTCCAGACTCTGGGTCCTTGATTTCCAAAGGAAATGCAGAACTTGCTTTCATCAGAAAACATAACTTTGGACCACTCAGCATCAGTCCAGTCCTTTTTGTCCTTGGCCCAGGCGAGACGCTTCTTGCGCTGTTTCATGTTCAAGAGTGGCTTGACACACGGAATGCGACACCTGAATCCCATGTCTTTCATGAGTCTCCTCGTGGTGGTTCTTGAAGCGCTGACTCCAGCTGCAGTCCACTCTTTGTGGATCTCCCCCACATTTTTGAATGGGTTTGTCGTCACAATTCTCTGCAGGGTGCGGTTATCCCTAGAGCTTGTACACTTTTTTCTACCACATTTTTTCCGTCCCTTCGCCTGTCTGTTAATGTGCTTGGACACAGAGCTCTGCGAACAGCCAGCTTCTTTAGCAATCACCTTTTGTGTCTTGCCCTCCTTGTGCAAGGTGTCAATGATTGTCTTTTGGACAGCTGTTAAGTCAGAAGTCTTCCCCATGATTGTGGTGCCTTCAAAACAAGACTGAGGGACCTTTTAAAGGCCTTTGCAGGTGTTTTGAGTAAATCAGCTGATTAGAGTGGCAGCAGGTGTCTTCTATATTCAGCCTTTTCAGAATATTCTAATTTTTTGAGATACCAAATTTGGAGTTTTCATTAGTTGTCACTTATGAATATCAAATTTAAATGTAATGAACATTGGAAATACATTGGTCTGTGTGCATTGCATGAATATAATGTACAAGTTTCACGTTTTGAATGGAATTACTGAAATATTTTCAACCTTTTGATGATATTCTAATTTACTGGCCAGCACCTGTAGATGGGTAAATTCTGAAATCGATATAAAAACCTGGGTAGGATCACCATTTTTATTGCATTGACTCTCCCGATCATGGTTAGAGGTAATATCCTCCACGCCTCAATGTGGATTTTTAATCTTTCAATTAACTCTGCATAATTAGCCTTGAATAATAATTTAGGATCTCTTGTCAAGTTCAGACCCAGATGATTTTTTGCTACTTTAAAAGGTATGGTGTCCATGAATTCTTGAGGCAGGTTGTCTACTGGGGGCATAAACTCACTTTTACACCAATTAATTGTATGTTACTAAATGAGTTCATGTAGTCCAAGAGAGCTGGAATAGAGGTTTCAGGATCACCAATGCAGACCAGTAGATCATCCGTATATAAAACTGCACGGGTCTCTATGGTGATACCTTTAATGCCTGGGTGGGAACGAATACCTATGGCAAGTGGCTCTAATGCGATGTGGGTCCCCCTGACGCACACCTCTCTGCAAAGTGAAGGGTTTGGATTTATTTTCATTAGTGAGGATAGCTGATCTAGGACTAGAATATAGGATTCTGACCCATTCGGTAAAGGTGTGGTTGAAGACGAAATTTTGGAGTGTTGCGAAAAGGTATGGCCACTCTATGGTGTCAAAGGTTTTATGAGCATCTAATGATAATAAGGCTGCACTGCCCATGTGTTTATGATTGGAGTAAAAAATATTCAGAATTTTACGCACGTTACATAATGAGTGTCTCCCCAGAATAAAACCAGTTCTTTACCTTTTTAAATAACAACTTTCCAAGGTTAAATTTTACACTTCAGTTCATTTTATTGGCCCAGAATTAGTTAAATCCAGCTTCCACGTTGGAACACAATAGAGATAATAACTTATCGATCAAATGCTCAAACCCTGTTGCTGAGATGACATCAAAGTACATTTATTCCTGCAGAGCCCCAAGCACAGAAGATTTTAGCTTCTTAACATCTCAACATCTATTTGTTAATATTTAATAATTATGTCCATATCAGTCATGTCTGCATTAGTTGGAGTTCTGGAAATCATCTCAAGACTCTAAACTTGGTGCTTGAGGAACCTAAACAGGGTCCCAATTTTAAAAAACAGACTGAAGACTCAAGACTGAAGTGGAGAGTGAGCAGAAGAAGAGTGAGCAGAGCTTATTTCAGCAAAGCTGTTGTATTTCATCACTGTTTAATTACAGGATGTCATGTGCCTTTTTCACTATGGACCAAGTCCTATCAGGGGAGAAAAGACACTCAGACCGGCTTTGATCCTTTTTATTCACACTTGCTTCAAACAGGAATCAGGAAGTCATGACACAAATCAAGATGGCATCATGGAATCAGAGCTGGTTTGAGCTCTGCACAGCCCCGACCCTTCACACGTGTACTGTTGTCATTTCAGAGATATGCAATGAATTAAATCAATTAGCATTGAATGAATGTCTACTTAGACATTGATGTGGATAATGATGTGACCTGGTAAAACTCAGACCCAGGATGTGTTAGAGGCTAAAGATATTTTATCTAAACCTCAATAAAGTTTAATATATGAATATATCATTGAAATAGAATCATGTAAATGTTCAAAAACACAATTTATAAAGTCAAAAATGCTGTTTTTTTTTTGTTAAAATGACAACAAATACTTATAGTTTGATCTAGATGTGACTGACATTGAAGAACCAAATTAATTCTCCGGTTCATTCTGAGATTTTAAGAGGTGTGTTAAATCTAAACCATTTAGGTGGACTAGAAACAGAAATGTTAAGGTGTTAGGTCTCATAGGTGTTAAAGGTATAAATGAGTAATGGAGCTGTTTGAAGCGATGGATAGAAGAAATATCTCTAGTCTGTATGAATAAAACACCTGCAAGAAACACACCTGCCTTCCTCTCTCCATGTTCCGGTTGGCAGGGTGCATGATGGAAGACTGAGAAAAGCAAGGAGCATAATTAGTTAAATAAGAGAAGTGTAATCCGCCCTGCGTGTCATTCCCACTTACAGAAGTCATGATGATTGCCACTCTCAGAGGGTGACCTGACCAGATGCATGAACAACCCTAGAATAAAATGTGAAGGGTGAATACTGCAAATGGTCTCATGCTGCTGCCTTTCTCATGTCCTGCTTCTCATCTGCTGTGCACCAACAGGAGCTGAAGGGTCAGATGTCTCAGCTAAGGCCCCTCCTGTCGGTGGTGGAGCAGTACAGATTGGACCTGCAGACGCTGACCACCCTGCGAACTGAGTTGCTCAACCTATCGATCATCCTGACAGCCATTCAAGAGGAGATTGGAGCGTACGACTACGAGGAGCTTCAGCAGAGGGTGTTGCTGCTAGAGACCAGGCTGCACAGCTGCATGAACAAACTAGGTAAAATGTCTTGGTGTTCTCTTTATGTGGAATGCACAAAAGGCTGTTTTAGTGGGTCAAATGAACCTTTTATTGATGTAATGAATTGATTTACATGTTATTTCATGAGCCATAAGACATAAGATTCCATAGTAAATATGAAATCAACCTTATGGATCTGTGGGTACTTTTTAACCAGAAGATTGGAACTTTTTATTGCAGGGATTATGTAACCACTTCGTATTAACTCAGAGACAACAGAAGAGAGAGTCAGATTTTAAAAGTTTAAAGATTTATTACTAAACAAATTAAAACTAGACTAACTTAAACACTAAATGTATGGTATTACTAAGATGAAATGAGACGGAGAATGGTGTAGTGTGGAATGTTGTTCAGAAACAGCAAATCCGAAGAAATGATTAGTTCTAGTGGGAATGAAGGTGATGTCTTCGTGTTAAGCTTTGATTAGGAGATTCATAAACACATTCGACGCCATTTTGTCGCTCCACACATACCCTTAGAATGAGACCTCTGTACGGATCCAGAATGCAGTTGTGACCAGTTTGGGGGTGAAAATTGATGCTGGACTTAAATTTGATGCTCACATCAACTCTGTGATCCGGTCCAGTTTCTTTCACCTGAGACGCCTTGCAAAAATCAAGCCCATGCTGTCAAGAGCCCACCTGGAGCGGGTACTCCATGCTTTTGTAATTTCTAGGCTTGATTACTGCAGCTCTCTATATGCAGGGTTGTGTCAGTCATCACTGCGTCGCCTACAGGTTGGGCAGAACAGCGCAGCCAGGTTCCTGACTGGGACCAGGAAACGGGACCACATCAGTCCGGTTCTGGCCTCCCTGCACTGGCTTCCGGTCTGTTATCGTTCACACTTCAGACTCCTCGTCTTTGTTTATCATTTCTTCCAGGGTGGTGGTCCCCCCTATCTGGTCACGCTCCTGAACAGACATTCCCCATCACGCGCTCTGCGCTCCTCTGACCAAGGCCTGCTCGTTGTCCCTCGTTCTAGGTGTCGTACTCGCAGCGACCGGGCTTTCTCAATACTAGCACTGTCACTATGGAACCAGTTGCCACCCTCAGTTAGGCTGTCCCCATCTCTGCCAGTCTTCAAGAGTCGCCTAAAAACCCACCTCCTCCGCTTGGCGTTTCCTGAACATGTTTGAATTTGGCCCTCTTTTATGTTGACTTTATCTCACAGTTTTCATTGGTTCACTTTTTCCCTTGTTTTACACATTTGTCTTCTACTAGAATGTTTCACCTTTTTTGTAACTTGTAATCTGTAATCTGAATTGCTTTTATTTTCTGATTTATTCACTTTCTTTAACTTTGTACTGTACCATGTTCAGCGCCTTGGGCTTCCTGACAGGGTTGCGGAAGGCGCTTTATAAATAAAGCTTTGATTTGATTGATTTGAAAAATATCGTACACCGCAATGTTGAGCCACCCTGAATCACTGCAGGGGGAATTCCTCAACCGCGACAGCCCTAGCATGAACGAGACCTGGGTTCTTCCTGGTGAGTCAGCTGCTCTGTCAGAGCTCTGTTCTTCAGACTGTCAGGTTCTGAACGAGCCCAGGCTCACTGGTCATGGTGGTGGATTACTAACCATGTTCAGATCCTCTTTCCATCCTAAAAAACTTACTATACCGGCGACTCCAACCAGCTTTGAGTTTATGGCTTTTGAGGTGGACTTTAGTTGCTACTGTTTATTCTCTGCTATCGCCTACTTAAGCACAATTCAAACTTTTTATCGGAATTTTCTGATCTTTTAACAGACTTTCTTCCATATTGTGACCGTGGGATTGTTCTTGGTGATTTTAATATACATGTTTGCTGCCCTGACAAACCTCTTGTTGGCTTTTTAGACATTTTAGATTGTTTTGGTCTCCAGCAACAGGTCCAGTCACCCACCCATTCAGGATCGCACATTTTAGACTTGGTTTTGTCATTTGGGATCTGTAACTCTGATCTGATTGTTGACTCTGCATGTATCTCTGATCATTCTCCTATTATTTTTAACATCTGTGGCTTGACACCTCCATCCACTAGGCAACATAATCAACACCTTCCAAGATTAATTTCCCCTTTCACCACCAATCTATTAGCGTCTAGCCTAGCTGCGACTCTATCCACTTCCCAACCTGATTCCACCTGTGTAGGAGTTGAGGAGCTGCTGACCTCTTTCAACTCTACCTGCTCAACTGTTTTAAATGCAGTCGCGCCCCTAAAATCCAGGCATAAAACAACTGTGGCAGACCCTTGGCTCAATGAGGAGACTCGTGCCCTAAGACGCCAATGTAGGGTCTGCGAACACCGGTGGCGGAAGGACAAGCTGCAAATCTCCTACCAATTATTTAAGGATTCTTTGACCCGCTTTCAGAAAGCTGTCCGCACAGCTAGAAACAGATATTTTGCTAAAATAATCACTAGGCATAAAAACGACCAGAAGAAACTGAACAGTGTCCTCACCTCTGTACTATGCCTTAGAGAATCTCCCAAATCGTCTCCCTCTACAGGGACTCTTTGCAATGAGTTTCACAACTTTTTCGTGCATAAAATCCAGGATATTAGAACCAGTTTCTCTTACTCAGGCTGGGTTACCTGTGTGGAACCTCACTGTCCACCCTCATTCTCTTGCTTTGCTCATGTGACACTCTCTTTCCTGGTTGATCTAATCTTGGCTATGAAGCCCTCAGGCTCTCCAGAGGACAGCCTTCCTCCAAGACTGCTGTGCGATGTCCTTCCAGCGGTGGCCCCTGCTGTTTTGGATATTGTCAATTCCAGCTTCTCCTCTGGTGTGTTTCCAGCTGCTTTTAAAAATGCAGTTGTTCAGCTGCCATTGAAGAAACCAGGCCTTGACCAGTCTGACTGTGCCAATTATCGCCCAATCTCAAAACTTCCATTCATCTCAAAAGTAGTTGAGAAACTGGTTCTCACGCAGCTTACTTCTCACCTAGATGACAATGGGCTTCTTGACCCATTCCAATCAGGTTTTAGACGTAATTACAGCACAGAATCTGCACACATTAGGGTACTCAATGACATCTTGATTCTGACTGACTCTGGCACCCATGTGCTGTTACTCTTACTCGGCCTGACTGCAGCATTCGACACTGTAGACTACACCATCCTACTTCACAGACTTGAATTTTGGGTGGGTGTGACCGGTACTGCCCTCGAATGGTTTAAGTCGTACCTTAATGGTCGGTGTTTTAGTGTTCATGTTAGAGACTGCTCTTCTCCCAAAGTCCCACTTCCATGGGGAGTACCGCAGGGCTCCATCCTGGGTCCTCCCCTCTTTTCAATTTACATACTACCACTTGGTAAGATTTTAGCAAGTCTCAGGGTTAACCACCACTTTTATGCAGATGATTGCCAGATCTACCTTCAAATCAACCAACAGCACTCATTTTCTATAATGTCAGAATGCCTTTCCCAGGTCAGATCCTGGCTTTCTCAAAACTGCCTACGGTTAAATGACAGCAAATCAGATGCCATACTTTTTAGCCCCACTAGCATGAATGGTGCTTTAGATGTCTCAACTCTCCCACTCAATCTCAAATCATGTGCCACTAGCCCAGGTGTGAAACTGGACTCTGACCTTTCAATGTCTTCATAAGTCAACGCTACTGTCAAGTCCTGCTTTTTCCAACTCCGCCGCATCACTCGTCTTAAGTCAATCCTCAAACACCCGGATCTTGAGTCAGTCATTCATGCTTTTATTACTTCACGTCTGGATTACGCAAATTCTGTCCTGATTGGGATTAATGCTTCAGCCTTAAGCAAACTGCAGAAGGTTCAAAATGCCGCGGTCAGATTTTTAACCAACACTGACAGACGCATGCACATCACCCCCATCCTTGCAGATTTACTCTGGCTCCCAGTCAAATTTAGGATTAACTTCAAGGTCTTGTTATATGTTTACAAGGCTTTGTACTGCCCATCCCCATCCTATCTGACGGACCTGCTGACCCCATATGTTCCCACTCGTGCCCTTCGGTCAGCAGATCATCTGCTGCTTGTTGTTCCGAAGGTTCGGTACAAATCACGGGGGGAGCGTGCCTTCTCTCATGCAGCCCCCAAAACTCTGGAACTCTCTGCCCCTCCGTGTGCGTCTGGCTCCCTCTTTTAGCAGTTTCAAGTCAGCCTTGAAAACACACTTCTTTAGAATTGCCTTGTCATTATCATGACAATCTAGCACCGGATTTGAGTTTTTAATTCCGTTTTTATAATTTAGTTGCTCACTTTTGGCACCTGGCACCATCTGGTATTTTATTTCGTTTTATTTGTGCCATTTCAAATGTTTTTATCATTCGTCGCATTATTTTATTTTTATAGTGCTGTTAACTGTTCTCCCATTTTATTGTTTTTAGTAGGAATTTTTATCTCCGACTATTTATGCTTTGTTCTTATGTATTTTGCCTGTTCTTATTGTGTTTCTTAGTCAAGCATTTGGCTTTTTTATGTACAGCGCTTTGGTTAGCTGCCATGCTATTTTGAAATAGTGCTTTATAAATATGGTATGACGTGGGCATAGTTTTATTCTTCGGATGTTTTGGTTTATGGTCAAATGAAAAGATGACAGATTTACCAAGCACCACCAAAACCACACCTCCGTCAGATCTGGCAGATTCTGATTGGATCAGTAAAAGCAATATGTCATGTCTTAACGCTACGTGAAATCAGTCCTATTGGAAACATTTAAAGTCATATAGCTTATTATATTCTATAGGATTATAATAAAGTAATTAATATTTTGATTTAACAGATTGGTCACATCTTATTATTGACTAACACTTTGTTTGATTAGCTTATTAAAATAGAGTTCTTTGATTTATTAAAAGGAGAGCGTCCTTTTCTTCATTCTTCTCGTGCTGGAAAGGAAGCAGTTTAGAGCAAATGCATGAGACCTTGAGGCCATATCTCATGCAGACTAGTTCTGTGTCAGAGGAGAAGGGAAAAATGACTTTGAGGTGGAAAACAGTCATTTCATTCCTTTACATTGATTTAACACCGATTAATGATGATCAAATAACTTTTTACACGTTAAAGTTCAACTTGTGCTTGTGTTAGCAGCATTTGCATGAGCGTGGATCTGCAAATCACCGGAGTCAGTGGTAGAGTCGCGGTGCTGTTATCCAATCAGAGGCAAGATGTTCGGATATCAGGAAGTAAGACTACAAATCCCGTCGTCTGAACCTACTTTGTCCTCCAGCTGACTTCCATGTCCTAAAACACATACAACTTTTTTTGTCCCAGAGAACGACTTACAAGGCATTCATTCCCACTCAAGACCACCGCAAATGTATTAAAAATATGACTAATGTTGCTTTTTCAATCTCAGCACCACTCTGTTTTAACCAGTGTACAATAATTTCACCCTTGATGGCAAAGGAATTATGACCCAGCATGAAATTTTCAAAAGATGTAATTAAAAAGAAAGTTAAGCGAAACAATAAAGGATTAGATTGATGTTTGGTGAAGTTTACTCATTCTCTCTCTTGTCCTCCGGGCTGTATAATAAATATAAAGTCATAGTCAGCCGCCTTTAGCCATTTTTCTGTTTCTTAGCGCTAAAAGAGGCAGCTGTCTTTATGTTTACCACACAAATGACACTGTTGATGGATATCTCATTAGAGACTCCAGTAAACGGTGAATTGTCTACCTCAGGGTGTTAAAGAACTTTTACAGCAGGAGAAAGCTGTTGAAGAAAAAAATGCTGTTGCAGAAATGTGAAACATTTGGACCACCAGAGCGCACGAGTGAAAATCAGGAGAAGGGCATTATGCTGCAGGAGAGCTTTTAGATATTTATGTGGAGATTTCAACTGTGCTTTTGCTGTGAAACTCAGTCTTGATTGAAATCCATTATAGCGGATGTGAGTCTGCTGAAGGAAAACCTGTTAAAAGTCTCAGTGAAATCTCACATGGTGGTTAAAGGTTCTGTTTAGCTGATTAAACATTCCTGCAAAATTTAATTCTCCAGCCGATTCAGTCACGTTTGAAATCTGTTGAAATGGATGAAACATGAAGTGAGACAATCGCAAGTGTTTAAAGGCTTTAGCTTACACCTTTTCCTCCTATATGTCATAAGACAAAGTAAATCCAGTGGCATTTTGTTAATTAGCTGCTCAACTGTCCTTAACGGTGGGCATCACTTACTTTAGCACAGAGCTCCATCTTCATTACTTTCTCCTGATTTATGCATAATTGATAAAATTCTGTTTCTTGGGGTCATAGGTTGTGGTCGTCTGACTGCAGTGAGCAACCCGATCACCGTGAGAGCCTCCGGTTCCCGCTTCGGCTCATGGATGACTGACGCCATGATTCCCAGCTCTGACAGCAGGGTAGGTGTTTAATTGTGCTTCTGTCTTTATAAAAATGAGTTTCATCTTACCCCGGCTTTCCAGCGGACATGTAAATGTCCCGTAACATCCGCAAAGCGTACACAGCAATTAGTCACTGTTATAGTGGATTAGTGCATTACCACTGGCAGCATCGCACAAATGTAGTGCAGAATCTATGCTTCAAGCCTATTTTTTATGCGCCACCCTTCTAAAACATGTCAAGTTCAGCAATTCAGATTGGGCCAGGCTGGAACTCAAACACGAGCGCATCTATAGAGAGACAAACAAAACGGGATTTGGAGTCTTATTTCCTGGTATTTGAACATCTTGCTTCTAACAGCAACGCGACTCTACCTCTGATTCTGTTTGCTCTGCAATGTTGATGTTTTATTTCCACAAATAACACAAGCTTGAAGGAGTTCTGCCTTGTGGTGGAGTTTCCAATGCAAATGCGTAGCTTCTACAAGTCCTAGAAGTGCTTTGTCTTTCCTGGACACCAGGATTCAAAATAGGGGGCAGCCTAGGGGGAGCCCAGCTCCCCCAAAAGGGTGATGGGCTCCCCTAGAAGCCCTGAAGTGATACACCTTGCGGGAGCCTGAAAAATGATGGTCATATCACATAATGAGTTTTAGTGTGTCCAATAAAAAACAGATTTTATGCTCATGGTCACATGGTGCTTATAGGCTCTTCACTTTCCTGATGTATCTTTTCTCTCATTTCTAACATGACTTCAGTGTGCACTCTGCATTCACTGTCTGCAAGCCTCACACACACACACACACACACACACACACACACACACACACACACACACACACGCACACACACACACACACACACACACACACACACACACACACACACACACACACACACACACACACACTGTACAATCTGTTCAGGGAGTGCATATTAAGCTAGTTGTCAAGGCGACTGTCTCCCAGTTGCCAGGTGTGATTTATATCGCCATGGTGACCCTTGCCTGTTCCCTATTAGAACTTTTCCCTGAGGATACGGAGCCGTACACAGCATCTGTATTCCAGATATTGCCTCCTGTTTCCCAGTTAGCACGATGGGACAGGTCAGAGATGTGGACTCTTTCACCTTCCCGATGTCTGTTTGCACTTACTTGCTTCATTTTTCAGTCTTCGTTGTTTTCATTTTACATCACACCTTCATAAATCTGAGAGCAACAATCAGGAAGCAAAGTAAATAAGGAATAAAAAAATGCTAGCCTGGGCTGCCAGACTCGTCCTCTGTTTATTCTGCGCAGAGAATGAGTCTGGTAACTCACAGGCAGAGGCACTTGAAGGGGTGGGACTAGGCAGCTCAAAGTAACCAATCAGAAAAAAGATGGAAATCCCGACTGTATCGCACGACGCTGCAGTTTTCTAGCTGTAGTAAAAAATTGCGTCTGGCAACAGAGCAAACATCGTTTTTTTTTTTTTTAGAAGAAATGCTTTTAGCGTTTCTACTTGTGATTTTTAAGACATTTGAGTCATTTAGAACAGAAAAAAGAGCCGCAGTGAACTCCGCCGCTGTCTTTGCTGTTTATGAGAAAGTGAGCATCGCTGCATGTAATGTCCGCGGCACTGTAGTTTTTAGCTGTAGTCAAAAATGGAGTCTGGCGACAGCGCAAACATCTCTCTTTAGAAAAAAGCCTTTTAGTGCTTCTACTTGTTGTGTCCAAGTTATTTAGACCAGAGGAAAGAGTCGTAGCGAACTCCGCTTCAGTCACCATGTTCGACAAACTCGGCATTGTGGTGTGTGACGTACGTAGGGATGGGTACCTTTGACAATTGAATCGATCCAGTACTAATTCCCGGTACCTAGGAATCGCTACCGGTACTTAACGGTACCATTTTTCGATACTTTTGAGTGTTTATTATTTTAATTCTCTTTTATAATTAAAGATATATTTTTCTCAATATATAACAACATTTGATAAATATCACGATAAATAACATTCAACTGTTTGTATTTTAACATCATCCTTGTAGTTTTATAAGCTGATAATTAAACTGAAGCAAACATCTTTACTGTGAATTAAATTTACTGTGTACCTTCATTCCTTTTGCCGTCTTTTTTCATTTGATTTTTCCTACTGGGAAGTTAGAATTTCAGAGGAGAAAGCGAACGCACCATCAGATGATAATAACGGTGGCAATGGAAGCTAACATATCAAGCTAACGTTATCTTAAACAGTTTATTTAACTGCTGGAGCAGATTTAAACAATGATGCCTCACACTTAGATCGTTGTCACTGGTTTAATCTTCACCCAATCACCGGTCGCATTTAGTAAAGTGGAGCCAAACTTTAGAGCGCATTCATGTTCTTCTAGAAAGCGAACACACCATTAGCGAAACAGAAGCTAACATATCAAGCTAACGTTATCTTAAACATTTTATTTACGTACCGGAGCAGATTAAGATGAGGATGTCTCACTTAGATCGTTGTCGCTGGTTTCATCATCACCCAGTTACCCATTACACTTAGTGAAGTGGACCCAAGCTTTAGCGTACATTCTTTCTATCATGCTGCTCTGTTTACAGCTGTCTTGGCAAGTTCTCATTATGACGGACAGGTACCGAAACGAGGCACCATTTGAAATGACGTGAATCGGTGCTCGGTTGGCACTATGGAATTTGGTCGGTACCTTAAAAAGTACCGAATTCGGTACCCATCCCTAGACGTACGATACTCAGCGCTGATTGGCTCGGTTAGAAATCTCACTGGGAGGGGTTATTTGAATAGGAGAGTTACCAGACTCATTCTCTGTGCAGAATTAAACAGAGGACGAGTCTGGCAGGCCACGCTATCAAAATGCTGGATAAGGTCTTGCAGTATTTTCTATGCATAACGCAATAAAAGCATAAAACAGCCCAACTCACTTTAATCTTGGCTTGCTCTCAGCTTTAAGGAGCGTTCTTCTGAAGACGGTTATTTTTACCTCAGTGCTTTAGTGTGTATCCTTCAGGCCTAACAAACGTGGCCCATTTCTTTCTTCATTAAACATAAGCAGAGCCTGTTCTTCAAGGTCATTTTCAGAGTGCTACCAAAATAATAATAATCACTTTACATTTACTCCTTTCATTGTTTTTGTCAAAAAACTAAATTAAAATTTGCTGATGGAAAAAACAGGTAGAGAAGTAAAATTACGTTGACTCGGGACCCAATGAGATGTCATGTAGAATAAAAGAAAACATGATAATTTGATAATTTGGTAAAGAAGGTTGGAGGATAATAAACATCTGCACAGACAGAGACGTCTGAGAGGACTCAGATGTAGTCTGACATTGACAATATGGAAGCGAGCAAATGAAAAGGACAAAAGTTCATGACGAATTCAACAAGTTGTGCCAAAATAATACTTATAAATTATAGATTACTTAGGCCTCTGCTGAGTCTCTGCTTTTTGCAGATGATGGGGTTCTGTTGGCTTCATCAGAATGTGATCTCCGGCTCTCACTGGTTCGCAGCCAATGGTGAAGCAGTTGGGATGAGAATCAGCTCCTCTAAATCCGAGACCATGGGTTTGAGTCAGAAAAAGGTGGCATGCCTTTTCTGGGTCAGGGATGAGGTCCTGCCCTGAGTGGAGAAGTTTAAGTATCTCGGGGTCTTGTTCACGAGTGAGGGAAAGCTGGATCTGCAGTGATGTGGGCGTTGTACCAATCTGTCATGATGAAGAGAGTGATGACCTGGAAGGCAAATCTCTCTATTTACCGGTCGATCTACGTTCCTCACCTATGGTCATGAGCTTTGGGTAGTGACCGAAAGAATGAGTTGGTGGATAGAACCGTCCAAAATGAGTTTTCTCCACAACGTGGCTGGGCTCTCCCTTAGAGATAGGGTGAGAAGCTCGATCATCCAGGAGGGGCTCGGAGTAGACCCACTGCTACTCCACATGAAGAGGAGCCAGTTGAGGTGGCTCTGGCATCTAGTTAGGATACCTCCTGGACGTCTCCCTGGTTGAGGTTTTCAGGGCACGTCCAACCGGGAGAAGACCTAAAGGAAGACCCAGGACATGCTGAAGGGACTATGTCTCTCGGCTGGCCAGGGAACGCCTTGGGATTCCCCCGGAGGAGCTGGCCCAAGTGGCTGGCGAGACGGAAGTCTGGGCCTCTCTGCTTAGGCTGCTGTCCCTGTGACCCGACTCCGGATAAGTGGCTGAAAATGATGGTTGGATTGTACATTCCTTGTTTTCCTGCTGAAAAAAAACGTTGTTGGGTATTTTTATATCCTGAAATGAAACACACAGGAGAGAAGTCAGTAGGTTTTAAACTCAGCGGAGAGCAACCGGCCAAAAGTCTGCAAAGGCCCATGTCCAATCAATTCTGGCCTCCCCTCTGCACCACAGACGGTTTTATTGAAACACACGGAAACAAGGACAAAGAACAATCCATCACTGTCCACACTTAACCAATAACACTCTTGCTTATTTCTAAGGCGGGACCTTCTAGAAAGGAAGTCTCAAGTTACAGGGGTGGCTGCAAGCTTTCCTGTTGCCAAGCAGAGCATTCCCCAACCCCCATGCTTATCAGGCCGCACACCACAGCCAGAGAGAAAAGGAGAAAGCCCTGTGGCTTACTTCACAATCATAACATATGATTAATGTATGATTACTTAAAAATAACATTTAAGAGAAGTGAAATATAAAAAACCCTAACAAAAGTCAAGCACAAACACCTTCCATTTCATCAGTGGAAATTCATGAAATAATTTCAAACACACACACACTCGGTGTGTGTCCTGATTACAGTGACAGTCACATAACCACACACATGCATCAACACACGGTTCAAGAAATAAAGAAAGCAGCACAAAATAACCACAAGTACCATTATTGATTCAGTCTCCCCAGATCAATAACTCTAATACCGAATATGTTCACACACACTTTTACTGTCATGTTTGGGTGTAGTTTTTTGACCCACGACATGTAGAATCACCACAGGAGGCAGAAGGTAAGTAAAAAATGTTGTTTATTATGCTTGGTTGAGGTGGATGTGGAGATCCGGGGTCTGGAGGCTCCGATAGGTTCTGAAGTGAAAACAGGCGTGAGCATCTTGAAGTAAAATTGTAAACAAAACCAAGTGAGAGGAGGCGTACGGTTTCCAGGATGTTTTGGAGTTTAAGAGGAGGGCAAGTCAGGTTTGGCTGAGTGGGATGGTCCAGGGACAGAGACAGAGACTGGGAGCTGAGCACGTGAGAACGGGAGTCCAGGTGTTTCCAGACGGGCAGGTGAGCGGTGGAGAGCAGGTGGTCAGAGGCAAGCGGCGTGGGTGACAGGCAGGGTTGATCCAAGGAGTGTTGTAGAAGGGTGATCTTTGGTTGACGAGAGGAACCTGAGTTGATCGGGAGAATAGGGCAGATTAATACAAGGATCAGTAAGACACTGGAAGCAAACAGAATCTTTAAGCGGACAAGAGCACAGGCTAGAAACGACCCAATACAGCGTAATCATCCGGCACTGGTGAGTTGTCACGCCGCTCCTTAAATCCCCTGACCACTGATGAGACGATCTGCAGAAGAAAGACTCAGATCCAAAACGGAGGTCAACTCAGCACAGGCCATGACAGTACACCCCCCCATTAGCAACTTTATGGATAATTCAAATTTTATAAACCCATTCTAAACTTGGAGAAATACGAGAGCCGTACCCAGCAACTTGGGTGAAACATGAACTCTTTAAAAACACTTTTAAACCCCAACACAAACATTGTTTACAATGTGCCCATGAGCTGTTGGCTGAAAAACAGATGTTTGGGTGCATTGTTTCCTTGACAACAGGATCTTTGGACACACACCGAAGAGTTAAGCCAGCCTTCAGAGTGTGTGATCTTTTCTTCTTATCTCCGGTTGAAAATTTCTTAATCAGACACTGTGTATGACAAAGATCTAGCCAGGAAAACATGATGTGTTTTATTGATTTGTGGTGTCGTAAAAATATCTGGTGAATCAAAAATAGATTTTCAGGCTCAACAGTTTACATTTAATCATCAAAGCTTCTTGCAACCATAAACTCGTTCTTTCTCACACAGACACACCCACAACCAAGTAAAGTCCTGCTCATATCTGCTGGTATCCATGACTACACAGTCTGTACTGGGTTGCAGTTTGACATTTTTGAAATCTTTATAAGCTCTTTAGGGTGTGTGTGTGTGTGTGTGTGGGGGGGGGGGGGGGGGGGGGGGGGGTTTGCTCTTACACACTCGTGCCGGCCCACACCTGTTGCAGTTTTGGGGAATATCTGTTGGATGCCTGCTGATCTGTCAGGGTGTCTCTGCTGATCAAGGACAGCTGATGGGAGGCAGAGCAGGAGGATAGGAGGAGGAGGACAGGGACTGTTGATGGAGGAGGTGTTCTGCGGGAAATAAGAGAGAGGAAATGGAAGCTGGAGAGTGATGATCAAACAAACAGTAGTTAGGACAGACAAGCAGAAAAATCTCAAAGAAGTTAAAGTTGGAAAAAGATAGAAATCACTGTCTGGTGCTGATTTTGTTCCTGAGATGCTTGTACTGACGGAAACTGGTGTGTGTGTGTGTGTGTGTGTGTGTGTGTGTGTGTGTGTGTGTGTGTGTGTGTGTGTGTGTGTGTGTGTGTGTGTGTGAATAACGAGTCAATGAGCGGTGCCTGAAGATGTCAGTCTTATTGGAAGTTTAAAGGAACAGTTGGAAATATCAGAGTTGACGTAGAACAAGGCCCGTGTGTTTAATCTCCTCAGTGCATCATATCAGGGCTTTACTGTGAGAAACTTCAGGTTCTGGTGAGTTATCCTGAATGAGGCACGTCAGCTGGGAGGCAGAGAAAGAGAAACAGTACGGTGAGGTTTAGCTGTTAATCAGTGAAGACAAAAATAAAAAATCCTTCCACCCTCTCAGCGGCCACTCTACCTTTCCTGCTTTAGTTTGGACTAAACGCTGCGTTCAAAGACAAGATTGCAGCAAGCAGAAAACAAAGGATTTGCTCTTGTTTGAAAATCTTTTAAAATTATTTTTAAAACTAGAAAAACCTGAATCAGTAGAGGAGAGAGGAAAAAACATCAAACTAAGAGAAAAGGTGAATTGGTTTTATTTTAATGTTCTTCTAAACCGAAGCTCAGTCAAACATTGAAAACACTCAATGTCTCTGCAATCACTTACTTTTGTCTGAGTCTTTCAGATTCAGCTGGAGTTAAAATATTACCTCTAAAGATGGACTCTAGCTGCTGCCTCTGCACAGGAATATGGTTGTTTTTTAATTAAATTGATCTACTTCCTCTTTTCGGTCTCAGAAGTTTCCTTTTAGACTTTTTAGGGGAAATAATGAGCATCTCTTTCCGCAGCAAAGCTTTCTTCTCAGTGCTCTTTTCTTTCATCTGTTTCACCTCCAGTCCCATTCTGGGTAATTAATCCTCCACACTGGTGACTGTCAGTTTTCTCCTCGTCTCGTTCCTTCACCACGTTCCTCTCATTCTCCGACTGTTTTTGTTTCCTTCCTGCTCATCCTGGTTTGCCCTCACCCTCTTTCCTTGTAATTCTCTGTCACATTTAGATTATTCACTATATCAGCTGTAATTTCAGTTTGAGCATCAAATTAAATGTGGATGTTGGGGAAAGTGACTCTACAGAGCTTAAACAGCTGGTGTAATCATCATGTGTGAAATCATTTTGGTGGTAAGATGTTCATTTATCCTGACTGTGTGGGATAAGGAGCAAAAACTGTAATCAGCTTGTGCCGAGCATGCCAACTATTCACCAGATGGAGATAAACTGTCCTCCACAACCTTCAGACAACAAAACAATCCTCTTTAACAAAAAAAAAACTCACTGACTTTTGACGAAAGCGTCATAAAATTGTCATTTAAAATAACATGTAAAACATAAAAAAATCACTTGTCTAAAAGCTGAGCGTCTTTGTTCTGAAGGTAACGCTGCAGGCCTTTGCTATTTTAGATCCATGCAATCCTTTAATCTTCTGCACACTGAGCATCTATCCCACAGCAGCCTCATATCTAAAGCTGAAGAGTTATCCGCATTAGGCACGCTGGCTGACTTTCCAGGGATATTCCCAGATCAGGTGAGCTGAATGGCAATCAGCTGCATCGCCGCTCTCGCTTGTCCTTGGTTTAATTTACTTATCTTTAGTTGTGCAGTGGCCAACAGAGACGGAGCTCTGAGTACGTCACGGGATTATCTAATCGGGACGCTGGTGAGCAGGTAATGGATCACTGTGATGGATCACTCTACAAATTAAACCAATTTCATCGCTCAGTGGCAGTTAATTTTACAGGCTGGCTGAGGAGGTGGGATCAGATCTCTGTTTGGATGGGGGGGGGGGGGGGGGCAGCTAAATGCAGGACTAATAGAGAAAGCAGAAGGTTGGTGTAGAATATCTAATTACTTTACTGAGAGTAAAAACATCTGAAAACTAATAATGTTGGACCAGAAATGGTAAAACCAAAGAATTAACTGAAATCTGACTAACTCAAATGGCTAAAAGGTGCATGAAGGGTTTTATCATTCTGAATGAAGACCCCATTTGGTTCACAAAAAGTCAGAATGCAGGTGGTCTTTGTTAGAGTACCATTAGTCATCATCACACACCGGTGAAATGACATCTCCACATCTGACCTGTCCCCATGGGGAGGGGTGAGCTGCGCTCAAGAACTTTTTGGTGGTTTGACCCCCCAATCCAACCATTCACCAGCTCAGTGTTAAGCAGGGAGGCATTGGGCCCCATTTTTAAAGTCAGCCGGATTTGAACCCCGATCTCCCAGTCCTAGGGCCGACACTCTACCACTAGGCCGCTGAGAGGGTTATGGTAGGCAGGTCATGCAGAACTCCTCAATCCAGTGAGAAAATCCCAGGCAGGCATTTATAAGAAGACCAATGGGGGAAAAAAGCCAACTCCCAAAATAGATTGGAAGCCTGAAACCAAAGCCAGGCATACACCGTGCAATTTTTGGCCCTTTTTGAGCCGATTTTACTCTTGTGTGAGTTTTGTGTCATGTCTTCTACAGGGGGTAACGGGAAGCGATTAACCAGCTCCCGATCAGCAATCGTGCATTCGCACAAAAATAAATAACGTTTCATAGGCTGCTCATCCCTCGTGAGGGTAACGTACTTTTGAAGCAGTGCTGCGACCCAAATATCCCAGAACCGTCACCTCTTTGGTGGAGTATTTATCATAACTCTGGTCCTCCCTCCACCAGGTGTGGTCGATGGACGGTTACTACAAAGGTCGACGTGTGCTGGAGTACAGGACCATGGGCGACTTCACTAAAGGCCAGAACTTTGTGCAGCACCTTCTTCCCCATGCCTGGGCAGGAACGGGCCACGTGGTGTACAACGGTTCACTCTACTACAACAAGCACCAGAGCAACATCTTGGTATCTAGCTCTTCTTGCTCTTTGCTTCTTCTGTTGAATCAAGCACAGTTATAAACTCTCTTGTCAGCATGCATCTGTTTGTTGTTCATTCCCATTGTGATAGGCTGTGAGAAAAAGAAAAAAAAACAATGTTTTGAAAGTGATGATATTTATTTATTTATTCAACAACTAAAATTAGATTATGAGCCAAATGAAGCTGCTGCAGCAGCTGTTTTCAATGAGACTGCAGCAGTTTAGATGTGTAATGTGTGAAATAAGTGATGTATTAATCTCTGATCTCTTGATATCACCTTAAGAATGGTTAGAAAAGGGTCAGGGTGCCCTACACGACTGAGATGAATGGAAACCGGTGTGTTACTGAGAGAGGCTGGATGATTTATAGGCTCTGATTAAATATGTTTTATTTTATTTTTTTTTTAGGTTCAGTATCATTTCCGCTCTCGCAGTGTGCTGCTGCAGCGCAGCCTGAGTGGAGCTGGGTACAACAACACCTTCCCCTACAGCTGGGGTGGATCCTCTGACATCGACCTGATGGCTGATGAGACCGGACTGTGGGCCGTCTACACCTCCATCCCAAATGCAGGAAACATTATGGTATGAGCTGCCTCTGTGTTCCTCCGATCTGTTCTCACTGCATTTTTAATATCACACATTTCATCCCGACCTTCTAAAAATCTAATTCAAAGGTGCTTTTTACAGTGCTCTGCTGTCTGTCAGCAGTTTACTTTTTGCACATTACAGAAATCTTTCACTTGCTTAACAGTTTTTAAAAAGTGCTGCCAGTCTGTGGTATTACTGAGCCAATTCCATGAGTTTTGTGTTTAAACCAAAGGGAAAGCTAGAGAGGATGAGGTGTGTGTCTGAGTGTGTGTGTCATGTTTGGAGGAAGGTACCTAACCCTAGACATGCAGAATGCTACACAGACCAAAAACGGATGGTAAAATGATTTATTTATAAAGGAGGAACTCAGGATGCACAGATAAGTCTGTGGTTGGATCTGCTACGACAGCTCAGCGTCTGGAGGAGGGAGAACACAGGTGAGCATAGGTTCTGATGCAGAAGTCCATTTGTAGGCAGAGGTGTTCAGCAGAACTTACTGTGGGGCGTGTAGATGTTGGCTGTAGGGGGGAGAGGTAGAGAGCCGGGAGGGAAGCGCAGGAGAGGGAGCAGAGGTGGAGAGAAGCGGGGCGTCCTGGTGGATGGGGCACTGGGTTGAGATGAGAGGTGGGTTATGGAGGTTTGGTGATATGGTCCGCGTGCTGAATATCCAAATCCTGGAGTAGAGGTAAGTATCCAAAGAGGCTGACAGGAATCCTGAAGAAGGGTAAAAATCCAAATCAGTTCCAGGTGAAGCAAGAAAGGTCAACATCCAAAAATACTAAGAGCAAAAACACTACGAATAACATTAATCCAAGAAATACTAGAGATAACTCGAGTGGCTGGCTACTACCAAGCTGAGGCAATCTTCCGGCGTCGAATTGTGTCCTCCATCCACCTTAAATAGGAAAACACCCCGCTGATTGCTGATCAAGAAGAGCTGGGCCACTCCCTCTCCTGGCAAGAGACTCTCAGATGGTTGAGAAAGAGAGTACTCACCCCGGCTCATGACAGTGTGGCAGAAATTTAATAACAGATGAGTTTTAATAAAAACGTGAGAGAAAGGAATATATTTCAGTCGATCGAGGCCAAAATAATGAATGACATAAAGTTCAACATCTAATAAAAAAAAAAGAAAAACTTCATCACAAAAGAAAGAAAAGCCTGAATGTTTAGAGCAAACAGAAGAGAAGCTTCCTTCAATTCAATATGAGCACTTTGTTGATCTTCCACATCATTAAGACCATCTGTTCAGCATTGGTTATTCTAGCCTGGCAAGCCATCTGATGGTTCGGCCATGACCCATGGACAGAGATCAGATGTAGGGGTGGACAGCACGAGGACTAATCAGAGCATCAAACAACATGATGGGTTCATAGTTACGGGGCAGTCCGCCACACACCTTCAGAGGAGTGGAAGAAGAACAAAAAGTACCTCTATCTGCTCAAAACATCCCAAATTTTAATCGTCTAAAGTTGATGCCACAAGCGAGTGCAGCTACTGAGCGACCGCCATCTTTGCTCTATCACAGCCCTGGTGCTGAGCCCGCTCAGTCTTTTTCTGCAAACATTGGCCTGGCCTAAACAGCGGTAGACCTGCTGAGGCTACAACGGAGTGTAGCTAAACTGACCTGCAGAGCAAAATCTTTTGCTACTGCTACGGTTGGTCTGGATTTCTTGTCAATGTTTATTTTTTTTTTGTCATTTAGTCACAAAAATATTTTTAGCAAAGGATGTTTTCTCTTTCTGGTTTTACGTTTCTCGTCGTTTCTGAATTCTGAGGGTTGTTGGATTTAGATCGTGGGATGAAATTAAGAAGTTTGGCAACCAAGCCAGCAAATTTGAATCTTTTTTAAGCTTTTCCAGCTGTTTGGATACACTTGTTTTACATTGTTTGTCTGAGAAGTTGCATGAAGTTTGAGTGGGTGGTACATTGACGGGAATACCAGACCCAATGTTTCCTAACAGAACGCTAATGAGATTTTCAGTGTTATTCACTGAACAGCAGTTTTTCTACAATAGTCTCTTGGAGGTCACTATATATATATGGATGTTTTGCGAAGTCTCAAAATCAGACACAAATATTTATGTTACAGCCCTGGTGTAGTGGTGTTCGGAGGTTGTGAAGGGAGGGGTAACATAATAACTGGAGCGGTAGGTGTGATTCGGAAAAATAACAGGGTCAAAAGGTTATATCTACACGTACAGTATGACTGAACAAAAGTGCACTGCGACGACAGGAATAACACAAAACACCAGAGGCAAAAGGCCTCAGGGAAAAAAACTAAAATGTTCTATTAATTTAGTATAATACGGAAGCCGGCAACACAAACAAAAGGAATTATTTCTTGTTAAACCGTAACCAAAAACCCGATGGCTTTGAATTAATTTACCAAAAGAAAAAACGAGCTCTACAGCGGAAGACTAAAGACTAGAACAAATATTTAAACCAGGAAATCACTCAATTAAATTCAAGCTCTAAGAGCAGAGAAAAAAATGTACACCTATCTATATCAAAAACGGCTATTAAACAAAAATGATTTTACCAAAAGAACTATACTATCAAAAATACCAAAATTTACTGTTCTAAATCCTACTCAAACCATTTTAGCGAGATACAAGGTTTAAGCGGTGGTTCTCTATCAGACGTCTGACAGCTACTGTCCTTTAAGGCATCAGCTGATTTTTTGCTGCTGGGGCGCTGAGAGCAGGCTGAGAGGAGGCCTAGCCTGATTGAGGACCTGTCCAGGGTCCTGAAAACCAGGAAGGGAAAGGACGCAGGCTTTGGCCTGGAAGCCAGAATCCAGCATCCGTAACAAAAATAAATAAATAAATAAATGCATATTTTCACCCATCTATGGACATGGATGACCAGGAATGATGCATGCAGAGGTCTTCTGCTGATATGGTCCATCATCCAAAATGTCCCTGTTGCCTGCTCATGTTAACCAACTAAAAGTGCACTTTCTTATGTTGGTATCAAGTGATGTCAGCTTGTTTTGTTTCCTGGAAGCAAGGAAATAATAATATTGTGGGAACAGGTAAAATACTTCATCAATTTACGTAACTAACAGCAATAGACAGCCATTATTACCGTAGCAACTCCACATTTACATTAATCCGTTTTCTTCCAGTGTTTGGTTTTAGGAACCATGTCCCTAAAACGTCATTTTTAAGCAATCCCCATTCATGACATCACAAACCGTAAAGTTAAATAGAGCTGTCTCTCACATGCAAAAGAGAGCTGCTGCTGGAGGAGCAGGGGCTCTACTCAGAGCCCCTCCCTGACATCCAAGCTTCTCAGCTGGTAGCAGCCCAAGCAGGGGAGGGTTGGGATTGTTTTCATTAAGTGACAGAGCCCTGAAATGGCTCATTGTGGAAGGCACTAAAATGTCAAGCATACAACTTTCTAATTAGCTCTATGTCAGAGGGATTTAGTGCAAATAACTTCATGAACATGTTTGATATTAGTCATTGAATGTAAATTGAGAAAAAAAATCATAAAATGTCATCTTTTTTATTTTCAGGTGAGCCGCCTGGACCCACGTTCACTTGATGTCCTGCAGAGCTGGGACACGGGGTTTCCAAAGCGCAGCGCAGGGGAGGCCTTCATGATCTGTGGCACGTTGTACGTCACCAACTCCCACCTGGCCGGTGCCAAGGTCCACTTTGCCTACCACACCAACACCTCCTCATACGAGTACACAGATATCCCCTTCCACAATCTGTACTCCCACATCAGCATGATGGACTACAACCCCAGAGAGAGAGCTCTGTACACCTGGAACAACGGCCACCAGGTGCTCTACAATGTCACGCTGTTCCACGTCATCCGGAGTGACGGTTAGAGGCATGAGATGGGTGACTGAACACTGGAGCACTCAGCAGTGAAAATTGGTGTGTGTTTGCGTTTGACTCCCAGACGGCAGGATCTCGCTGAGCTAATAAGAGGACACAATACATGGCTGTCAAACACCAGACTCGAGGTGAAAGATGAGAGTAATCATCACAACGCACACGCTGAGAAAGGAAGTGGAAAATGTTTTGAGCTCATCCCTTGTTTGGTTCTGTTTTATTCCACTTGCACATCCAGAGGTGATTCTGGAAGCAGAGCAGAAACAATGGAGAATAAACTGAATTTTACCTCACTTTTATTCGTCGAGCTGCAACGACGGACCTGACGGAGACATTTTGGGTTTGTGATGTGATTGTCAGTGTGTTCAGTCAGCATGGTTGTTCCTTCAATAAACTTTAATAACAAACTTTTGCAAACATCTCTTTGTCTTATCTGTTGTAGAGCAGGAAAAGGGAAATTTACACTTCTACGTGTGTTTGTGAGAGCCCACTCCAGGTTTCCCTCAGGTTCCCCCTTTGTGATTTCAGATTTAGTTATCCCATCCTTGTTAATGTTTTTCTTCTGATGTCTAGTTTTCAGAGGTTTATTAGTTCACCTATCTTTAGTTCTCTGTAGATGTATTTTACCTAGTCGGTTTCTCCACTCAGTTAATTAGTCTCACCTGATCCCTTCTGATCTCACTCCCCACACACCTGTCACCTGTTTCCCTGATTGTTTCCGTCCGTGTTCCTCTGTGTATATAACCCTGTCTGCATCTCAATGTGTTGTCGGTTCATTGTTTGTGTCAGCGTTGTCTCGTTTCCCTCTCCTGGTCTCTAGGTATTTAGATGTCTCTAGGTTTTGCTCTTTAAAGGAGCTCTTCGTCTCTTGGTCTCTAAGGCCTAGTCCGCACGTAGCCGGGTTTTTTTTTTAAACGAATATCCACCCCTCCAAAAACTTGCATCCACACCACCTCGTTTAAAAAAAAAACTCTGTCCACACGTATCCGGATAAATACGTTGTTAAGGACATGCCAGACCTGTAGGCGGCAGTACTTCCCCCGTTCTTAACCTCGTCCTTCATCTGTGGTCTTCCGCAAGGAGCAGTAATTCTGCTTGCAAAAGCAAACAAGCAAAAAGCGCTTGGACAATTGATGAAGCGAGCGCAGCTCTGAGGGTATCCATGATGTCGGCTAGTGTAAACACAGGTCGCACACGTGATGTCAGCATTTTTTTGTCGCGGAAAGTGACGTTGCGGACCTTAAAACTCCGATTTTGTCTGTCCACACGCAGACACCCAAAACGGAGAAAACGCAGATCTTCACTTTGGCCGGAGTTTTAAAAAAGATCCGTTTTCGTGTGAAAAAACTCCGTTTTCGTGTGGATGACAGGCCAAAACGTAGAAAAATATCTACGTTTTGGCAGATCCCCGGCTACGTGTGGACAGGGCCTAAGTTTGCGCATCAGGATTTTTGGATTTAGGTTTTTGGCTACCTGCCCTTTTGGATTTTACTTTTGGACAATTAGTCCTAAATAAAGGATTTTACGTTTTCTACTACTCCTGCCTTGTGTCATCCTGGTTCTGCATCTTGGGTCCTAACCTCCTCCTGGCTAACATCGTGACACAGACTCCCTGGCAGAGACAACCTGCCTTTTTGTTATTGTTTTAGAGGACTGAAAACAATAACACAACATAGAGATTCACTAGCTACATTCACATGAGCACAAGTAATCAGAATAAATGCTCTATCACATCAAAAATCTTCATGTAAACATGTCAAAAGGAATATTCTGATCCAATATGGCCCTGTTGAGAGAGATGGTTTTGTCCGATCATCATTCCGGTTGATGTCCATGTACCCATTCAGAATGTTGGAGTAAAATAGTGTCCACTGAGTGTGTGCAACTTCAGTGTGATGTCTTTCCAGATGCTCAGGACAAGTCGGAGGAGCTGGAGGACGGTGTGAGCGGGTGATCATTAGTACGCTATCCTGCTCGCCCTCTCCTGTGGCTGAAACGCAGTAGCGTTACGTACCGCTGAGCCTGTAGCTTAGCTAAAGCTATCAGTAAAAACAAAAGCATACAGGTAAAAATGCAAAGAAAGTTCATAATGTGGGGAAAATGTAAAAGCAACAGACAAAGGTAGAGAATAAGAAGATAAAATGAAAGGAGAAAGACGTGCGAACAAGATGACGTTTGTTTACAATTTTATTTTCAGGAAAGACTACTCTGCACATGCTCAACCTATTTGATTTGACTGAATGCTTGGTGTGTGTATACTCACGGCACGATCGAATCATTTCCGTAATGTAAACAGAAAATTGGGATTTCCGATCAACCAAGACTTGAATCGGATTGGGGAAAATGTGGTGCATTTAAACGTAGCTACTGTTTTATTCCTCTGTTTTAGACTCACTGTGTGACACATTTAAAACCATCATCATACAAAAGAACCAGATTCAGCTTTTATGTAAGCAAATTGAACATTTCTCAGACAAAAACATTATAATACACCTCAGATCTATCTTGTTTCTGCTTGTCTAATGTCATTTTGACTGTGATTAGTGATTTGATGCTCATCTTGCTTTAAAACTACACCATGGAAGCACCTATAACCCATTCTTTTTATTTTTTTTTTTTTTTTGCTTCACACACCAGGAGATGCTTTGTCCATCGTTGTTTCTGTAGATGGTGTTGACAGGATTCTTCCTCCTACACCTGCACAAATATTGCAGCATTTTCTATCGTTTTAAAGTACCTTTAGAGTCTCAGACGGCTGTTCCTCCTCTAGATATTTCTGTTTTATTCTTCGCATCTGCATTCACAGTGTCACCTGCTACAATTTCATCCGTCTCTTTGTGTGAATTGATGCCATTACTCGAGCTGCCGTCGCTGTTTCTGCACTTCACAGTGCTCAGCGTGTGTTGCTCCTACTTCAGCCAATGCCGCGCTGCAAACATACACACAGACACACAAGGCGGTTTTATACGCTACTCGTCTAAACAGAGCTGGAATCAGGAACTAAAGGAAAATCACACACAAGTCTTATTAAAGCCACATCCTTTCCACATTTAGAAATATCCCTCATTAATAATAAGAAAATATTGTATAGTAAGGGCAGCTCTCAAACCAAGACTGAACTCATCAGTTGGATGCTACCCCTATGCTGTAGCTAACACTACAGCTGGCTCTGACAAAGAAAACTATCTTGTGTTTCAGAGAGAAGCTTCTGTTTGCTCCAGTCTGTCACAAGTGATACAGAGCAGCATGTCTGAGGAGGGAGAAAGACTTTTCACAGCTAATATCTGCACAGCGTGTGGGTTTGTTGAGCCTTTTATTGTGAAAAGCTCTCTGATGTTTGTGTATGATTGCAGCATAGACGTCATGTTCACTTCTGTGTTTGCTCAGAGCAAAAAGTCAGTGTTGAATCGATGCGTCGTTTCACTCCTGCAACACCGGACAATCGTATAATAAAAGAAAAACAAACCAAATGCTGATGCCTTCTGGATTACACAAAACTTCAAAAATCTCATTCAGTGCTATTCTGTCTACATTTTGTGAGTGAATAAAAACATTTTAAAGGCGTGATTGGCTGAAAAACAATTTTTTAATGATTATTTCTGATTAAAATCAGTCACGCTGAGTTTTTCACGCAGACTGAACATGAAAATAATCTCCTACACCTATCTCCTGCCTTAGTTTCTGAGAGAAAATAGATGGTGAAACTCTAGGATTAGAAAATCCTGACAGGTCTACGACACAACGTGAATTAACATTCATGGACTCACCCCTCTTGACTCGCGAGGGGGAAGGCTGTTGTTGTTTTAACGTCCAATAATGAGCAGAGAACGCCTCGGCTAGTTTAAGCTAACTGTTAGCATTAGCAACACCACCACACAGCATAAGTTCCTCCTGGCTTGTGTTGTTTGTGGGGATAAAACACCCACGTTGCAAGTCAGTGGTAGAGTTGATTTGTTGTTATCCAACCTGAGGCCAGTTGTCCAAATATCAGGAAATAAAACTCCGAAGCCCGCCGTCTGAGTCTCAGCTGTGATGTGGCCAACTTTGAGGTCAGAGAATGGTGCACCAGTATATTTTTTCCACCCCGAGAGAAACTTGCAAAGCATTCATTCCTACTTGAGACCACTGTAAGTCTTCCTCTCATTTATTGACTGTTTCCTCCTCCTTCCATGGGCACCAAGATAAACATTCTCAACAGCATTTACAAGTTAAAATTAGAATAATTATGACTTATTCCACAAACAGGGGCAGTAAAAAGTATGAGTGAATAATTATATGAGTGCTCCTTAATCAAAGTGTCTGACAACACTTCACACTCCATTCAGTCCTTAACCATAACCCCGTGTGTACCATCTCAGCAACTGAGAGTCCTGGATCAATACGAATGTGCAGGATAATAACAAAAAGCACAGCTACATGTGGATCCCATTGAGAAAACCGCACAAATGACCCTCTGTTGCCATGGTGACTGTGATTATATTGTGTTTAACAGCCTCGAGTACAGAAAACAGGTACATCTTGCCTTCATTCTCATTTTTTTCCCCTTTAAGACTGAATCACCCAATTTTACATTTAATTCAGTCAAAACATGCATTCATTTACAAACAAATCAAAATGTCAGGCGTAAATCTGCCTGGTGTGTCTGAACATGGTGTTCAAATAATTTTCTTTTGTGTTTCTTTCCTCAGCCTGCATCATAAACTCGCTCTTCAACCTCCAGAGAGGCTCACCGCAGCAGCTCAATTATATAAACATAAAGGTCAAAGCAAGCTTTTTTTCTTTCATGCAACACAATACAATCATGTCAGCTGCTTTATTAGCTAAAATCATCTTTAAAAAATGTAACGTGTCAGTTTAAGTGCTGGTAATACTCAGCAAATATTACAAGGCGTGAAAACGATGGACTGCGGGAGGAAAACTGCACAAACTAGAATGAAGCACAAGCTGTCACGACTCACAATGACAACAAAAGGCAACATATTTCTTCTTTTATTTTGAAATGTAATTTTTGTAACCGTGTGTGCTGCTTCCCCACCTGTTTTGCGGTCTGTTCTGGATTGTTGTTCCAAGTCCTTCCTGATTTCATTGCTTTGATGTTTTTGTGTTTATTTTTTCTCTACTTTGTTTCCAAACCCTTCTATCAGGACCTTTGGCATTCAGATTCTACTAATAAATCCCACAGCTGAATTCTACTCTTTGCAAACAAATCAGATTTTTTTTTTTCACCAACTCCATCATTTTCTTCCTCGTGAGTTATCTGTCTCTTTTACTTTAATTTTCTCTCTCCATCACAGTTTTTAATTTCCTTTTGTGCCTTTGGATCTGAGAGATTCAAATGTTTTCTCCATTTGCTTCTGAGGAGTAAATTAAAGGTGCAATATGTAAGAATGAAGTAAGCATGACATCCTGTGGTTTAATT